TGCCCTGACAAGAGGACAGTTGTGGATGGCGCAGCATGGGTGGCCAATAGCTATGCCATCTGTGATGGCACAACTCATAACGTCTGTAGAGGTTGAGTAATGCAACTGGATGATTCAGTGCACTCACAGAGATGCCCATTGCGCTGGATTGTCTTGGTGCACTCAGAGCATGCATGTGCCCAGTGGCGCTGGGCAGTGTAGGCCATGAAAGCATTGCACTCTTGCATGGCATATTTGAGTTGGTTGTACTGGTGATGGGCATTGTTGGGAAGGTGGAGAACACTGCCCTGCTCAGTGTGGTGGAGAAGCAAGGCATAAAGGTCAAAAAGGTTGGATATACTTTCGCCTCAAAGGAGGGACAGGCAATATTGACCTTGGTGCCTGACACTGGCATTTGCCAGTGTCAGGTTGTATATGTCTGCATTTGCAGACAAGGATGCACTATCCCTGCATCAGTCTCTGCTGGTCCTAGGGATGATGCCATCTACCAACCACAAGCAGCCCCTCTGTTAGAGGTACACACTCAGTGAGAAAAAATAACAGATCACTGTCCAGCAGCCCCTCTGGGAAGAGGTATGCACTAGAGGGGAGGGAAGGGAAGGGAAGAACAAATGAATAGACATGCATACTGGGCATGGACAGTCTGCATGTGAAAGAGATGGCAGAGACAGTCTTCAAAAGCCATGTGCTTTTTGGCTTGAAGGACAGATGGCATGCCACCATAGTAGACCTGAACCTCCTCTGCTGCTTGCTTCTCATGGTAAAAGTTGAGGTAGTAGGTCATCCTGCATATCCTGCAGTGCAAGGATATGAGGATGATGGGGATTGCGCCCTGGGCCAGCATGTACAATGTGGCAAAGTGCTGGTTGTGAAGGGTCAACATGGCATGCATGCCAGTGCAAACATGGTGGGGACAGGCATCCCTAAGGCATATTCAGGTTGGGGGGTAGAAATGTTCTATGCCTAGTAGTATATAGATGAATGGGAGATAAGGGGAATGAAAGGAGGAGCTCACCAAGGTTGTATTTCTGCACAAAGCATGCAAAGAAAGGGAGGGGATCTACCAGAGGGCCAGTAGGACATGTAGGATCCCTGTCAGGTGTCCAAGCAGTCCACTGAAGAGCTTGCCAGAGGACAGGAATGTGCCCTGGTGGGAGCCCAAGCAAATCAGAGAGGAAAGCTGTGACTGTGTTTGGTATTGCAGCCAGGGGAGTGTTGAGGTGTTTGATGCCAGGGATTTCTTGCCAGGTGATGCGCATTTGGAGGTGCTGGCAGAGGGTGATGAAGAGGAGGGCTTGCTGGACAGTGAGTCATGGCAAGGACTTGTGTGCTGCCGAAAGCTGGCAAATGAGGTCAAGGAGTAACATGGTGGGTGGGGGAGTTGGTATGAGGAGAGGAGGGGAGGGGAGTTGAGGGAGGGAGGAGTCAGCAAGGGGCAGTGGATTGGCAGTGAGCTCAGCTGGTTGGATGATGATGAGCATGACTGGTGCTGTTTGTCAGGTATAGTAGATAACCAGTGATGATGTACATAATGTAGGAGTACAATGGAATAATATTATGTCACTGAGTAAGATATGTACAGTAAGCAAAAAACACTGCCACGTACCCCGTCCAGAGTCCAGAGGACCCTGCCCCAAAACTCGTATGTACTGCTTTATGTCATGCGCATGATTCCCCCGTTAACGCCGAATACTCAGGGGCGCACTTCTTTACATCATCTCCAATCACAGAAATAGGAACCTTGAAGTAACCTATTTTCATATCCTTAGCTGCAAATCAGTCAAAGTAACCATGCTAAGAATAGTTGCGATGAGTCAAAGTTTGATCTTTCTGCTAACCCAATAAGGAAGTGGCGAAGTCGAGGGCGGTTGGTGCGTGCGCGCCTTCAAGGATGAGGGGATGGAAGCAAATCTGTGGGCCGCTATCCCATGCTCCCTGATGTTGCCGTTCTCTCCCCCTCCATCGTCCCTTGTCTCCTGCAGCTCACCACCACCAAGCAGCGGCGATGAGGGACGACCCACCGGCAATGTCGCCTGCGAACTCTTCAGCACTGTCTGATCTCTCTCGCTCACCATCCCCGGTGAACCATAATCCCCACACACCACATGTGCCAGAGCTGTCTGTCAGACCGCCGCCATCAACCCAGGGCCCTTCCAGCGCGCCTGCCGGCCAATCCCCCCTCACGCTCGCTCGCAGGGGAAGTCACGAATCTGACATGTCGATTCACTCTGACGGATCGTCCTCGCTCACGAACCTCTCTGACGAGCAGCCTGAACCTGACGCGGACGAAAACAGCGAAAACGAGATTGACCCCGAGCGCGATGGTGACGCCGACGCGAAAAATGCGCCCACACCCGAGCCCGTCGGGAACACCCCAAAGCGCTCCGTTATTCCAGATCCGATGTGGGCATGGGCGGCCAAGAAGTCCAAGTCGAAATCCAAATCGAAATCGAAAGACACGAGCGAAGATGAAGCTGATGCTCCCCAAGAGCTTGAAAGCGGTGATCTCGCCGAATCAGATGCTTCCGACCATCGCGACAAGGACGATGATGAACCCTCTGTGAACGGAGCATTGGCCGTGGACGTGAAGGTTCATACTCGCACTGGCACCGTTTCCAGCCGCGCTCGTGCTAATGGCATGACAAAGGAGCTGGCTAAACTGAAGGCGGAGGACAGTACTGGGACGAATGCTACCCCTACCAAGTCACTATCGCTTTCCCCTATCTCCGATGCCGACTCACCAAAGGATGAAGATGCGAAACCTGAAGAGGATGCCGAGGTTCAGAATGATGAAGAGCCCGAACCTGCTGAACAGGAGGCAGTGGCCCCTGTTGTCATCGTTGGTGTGTCCTCGTTCTGCAACATTCATCACACACTGAACCTAACAAAATCCTAGAAGCATTCGATCGTCTGGAAGGGATGGTGACTCTTACCGCGCTTGAAGTTGCTTTGGCCATGACGCGCGACTATTTGTATAACACCAAGATGCAGCAATATGCTATGGAGGAAGAAGCGCTGAATGCTGGTGAGTGTGATCACAATACAAGGATACGTCGAGGATGTACTTTCGGTGCAGGAACCCATCCCGAGCTAATACACCAATGCGAGGAGCTGCAGATCAGGAAAGAAGCACGAGTAGCCATTGCTGAGAAGAAGTATCAAGCTGCTGTTGCTCGCATCAAACGAAAGCGGCAGGAAGACGCACATCTTGTTATGAACACTTGGAGAGTATGTCCTCACTTCATATATTCCTACGCGCTTGCTGACTCTTTGATAGTACGAGAGAGATGAGCTCCTACGTACAATGTCGGATTCATATGTATCCGAAAAGCGTGCATTGGAACGAGAGAAGGCGAATCTAGAGCGATATTCTTCCCGTGCGTAACGAATCATTTATCGGCCGTTATATCACTTACCGTGCGCAGCTCGGCCTGTCACCCCCCCTATGCCTACCGAGTTTGTGGAGGAGCCGCCCAGAAAGCGCGTCAAGGTTGAGAAACTTGTGGGATCAGTCACTGCGAAGAACGTTCGAAAGAACATCCAGTCTGCGCTGACCTATCCAAGCGTGGACAGCGTGTCCGGTGACGATCTAGAGTCTGACCTGATTGCAATGGGTATCCGAAGAAAGCCAGCAGATCCTGCACTTGGTCTTCTCCCGCCCATGGCAAGTGGACAGAGAGACCTTTTACCTGTCATGCCCCAGCCGCAAGGCGACTATCAGCAAATCCTGCAGCCGATACATCAGCAATATGCGCACCAGGCTCCTTTGCACATCCATCATCTCCATCCCCCGTTCCCCCACACACATCAGAGCCACTCGTCGCATCTGCCTCCGCCATCTGGTCAAGTCATTTCACACCATGGATCAGGGTCTTTCCCGCCGTGGGCTCCTGAGCCTCAATCTGCCTACCCATCACAGCAACATCATCATCATGTCCAACACAACCATCCTCCGTCGCACTCACAAGCTCTTTCTGGCCTCCCACCTCATCTACAGACGCAAGGCCCTTCACATTCCCCGACTGGTCACAGGATGAACTACCTGCCCTCCCAGCCTACTACTCACACCGTTCTGCAGTCTGCTGAACGACCGCCTTCATCGAACATGCACATTTCCTCCAATGCACAACCTTTCACCGCTGGACCATTACCGCCAAACACTTGGAATGAGATTCGCAAAGACAGGGAGCTGCCAATGCCAGGCCCATCCAACCACAGGCATGGCAGGAGGTCTAGCCCATTACCCCCTCATCCGTTGCAAGCACCGCAGAGGGATCAGTCGATGTTTCCACCACAAGGGCCACCGGGCATGCACAACCATCCTCCCCCTGGAGGCCCTCCATCTTCTCACTTGTCATCTCTTTCGTCGCATTCCGGCCCGCCTCCGCCTTCTTTGGATCAGCGTCGATCCGCAGAACATCGAGCATCAAAGAGTGGATCGTCGAAACGGAAAGTGGAGGATGAAGTGGAAATGCGGCGAGATGTGAAACGGCCCGAAATGAACCCCCCGCCTAGCTTTAATAATCGGTCTGTCAATATCTCTCCACAAGATCAGCGCAGAGACCCGGGCCGCTCGGCACCTCCAATGGCACCGACCTATCAACAGAATACCGCCAACATCCTGAAAGAGAGGAGTCAGCCTTGGGATCAACCCCCTCCACCTCAAGTTCCTACTACGAATCGGGTCTCCAGACAAGGTCCCCCGGCAGGACCTCCTGTGGGACCCATTTCTCACAATAGTCTCCCGCCGCCACCGCAGAATCGACAATACAGTTCTTCGTCGCAGATGTACCCGGTTGATTATGGTCGGTCACAGCCACATAAATCGTCCACGCTCCCAAGCGCAATGTTCCCCTCTCATCCCACACCGTCTAATCAACCCATGCATAGGCCACCTTCAATGATGGGCTCAGTTGGGCGCCCACCTTCCCCCCCGCCAGCTATGCGCAATCCCAGCATAACCCCACCACATCAGTCCATCTCCCACAGTTCTTCCAATGCCCCAGGCTCCAGGTCGCCTGGCAAGCCAACTTACGGGCCGCCCCCTCCACCGCTCAATGCACCTGGACTGCCCTCGCAACCACCTAGTTCAACGTCAAGCAACCATCTGCGCTCTTCTGGCAGTGATTCTCATAGGAGCGGTATCCCTGTGTCGTCACCGGCGAGCACGGCTCGGGTCTATAGCTTACCCAAGCCATCCGGTGTATCATCAAGCTTGTCCACGATGGGTCCACCACTGCCTCCCCTAAACTCGATGAACGATGTGGCTAAGACGGAGCGTCCTCCGCCGTCCTCTCACAGTGGTCCAATGCCTCCTTCGGTACCAGTTCCAGTACCTCCCCCGACTCAGCTGCCCCCAGTGCAGAAATACGGTCATGGCTTAGCCAGCAAACTATTTGGAAGCTCAGGAATAACGGGTGGGGGCGCGCCTACCGGGGGACGTTCTGCTAGTGGTTGAGGGAAGGAATATGTTTCTTTGTTGTTGTAATTTCATTTCCTTTTCATTTCGCGTTGTATCTCTTGTAATCGCAATGAGCTGGCTGTATATGCAGCGTATGAACTATGGATGGCAGAAGAATTCTGAGCCAACATGTGCGCCTGAAAGGGGAGAGAAGACCCTGTCAGTGGCAATGCAGATCATCTCGTGAATTCCCAAACGACGTTTTGTCGTCTCCTTCAATATTTCGATACACAATACTTCGACTTTCAATTGGACAACAGAGATGTCATTGTCAAGTGTGCTATTGAAAAGGGGTGGTGCGAGTGTGGATAGCGGGCTTGACAGTATATTCAATCTCAACGTGAGTTCCTACGTTGCATTGGAGCATTTGAACTGGAGCATTCTACAGACCACGAAAGCACCCCCCCGTCTTCCCCAAGCAGCTGGCTCATCTATAGCGAAGGAAAAGAAACGGAAAGTCAAAGAGACTGAAGTACAGGACAACACCTCTAAGAAGCCTAGACTTTCTGGCGCCGGCAAAGATGAGACTGGGGTCCCAGTCACATCTCCCACTGCGGGGCTGAATGTGAAGAAGAGCCGGAAGACGACAGCTCAGTCTTACGAGCAGCAACATGAGACGACACTCAGCACCACTGCGACGCCAAGGTTAGAGATATCTCAGAAGCGCGCTGAGAAGAAGAAAACGCCACGGAAGGACGTTCGGAAGGATAGCACGGAGTCAAGAGGCGGCGAGGACGAGGAGGCTAAGGCACGTGAGAATGAGCTGGACGAACAAGACGACACTAAACAGGAGGACGAGGAGGAGGGAGAGGAGGGAGAGGGAGAAGAAAATCAGGATGAGGGAGAGGCACTTCCTGTGCACGAATCTCTTCTAAAGGGTCGAGTCGGTGAAACCCCCTCGAAGAAGAGGAAACGGAATGATGGTGTCGACGAAGAGACAGACGCTCGCACGGTGTTTGTTGGCAATGTTGCCGTCCATGTCTTGAAGCCGAAGGTGTGTGTATTGGCAATGTATGGAGCACATCTGTCCTAACTTCCTATTTCAGGAGCTGAAAAAGCAGCTCATTCAACATCTTACGTCATTTGTGCCTCACTGCGAGGTAGAATCGATCCGATTTCGGTCTGTCCCATTCAAGACACCAACCTCCAATCTTGCAGATCAGAGTGAGCAAATTCACAACCCGTCCGCAAAAGAGACCAAGAGTCACGAACGTGCCGAGCAATGGTGGAAAAAGTCGTCGGATCCTTCGGCTGGGGTCGTATATCAAACCGAGGCCGAGAAGAAAAAAGTCGCCTTCATCAAAGGCGAATTCCACGAGAGTATCGACACAGCCAATGCATACGCGATCTTCGCACCTCTAAAGGCAGATAAGGCAGACGATTCTCCCCTCACAGGCGCCGAAGTTGCAAGTCTTATCGTTGAGCGCGCGAATGGGAGTACGTTCCTGGGCAAAACGTTGCGGGTGGATCGTATCGGCAAACAAGCTTCTGGATGGGGTAGTTCTGACCCGAAGCTTACCGTATTCGTCGGCAATCTCGACTTTGCAGCGAAGGAAGAGGCTATACGGACTTTTTTCGAGGAGTTGGTGAAGAGTGAAAGAGGAGAGCCAGCGAAGTCATGGGTTGCAACTGTTCGCGTTGTCAGGGATAAGACAACGCAGTTGGGTAAGGGATTCGCTTACGTGTCCTTCGTCGTAAGTTTCGGTTTTCTTACAATTTGCAGTACTAACCAAGGCTCTTTAGGATCGGGAATGTGTCGACTATGTTTTGGCAGCTGATGCAGATCAGCTGAAAATGGCTAAGCGAACTCTCCGAGTTCAGCGATGCAAGACTGCTCCAACAAACAAAACTGCACCGTCTTCTGACAAGCTCCGCACTTTGCCTGAGAAAGCCGGAGCGGGCAGGAGCGTGAAACCTAGACCTGCTCCGGTGGACGTCCCTAAGGGAGATCCTAAGCTTGGTGAACGACTGGCAGGCTTAGACAAGGATGCTCGCAGGGCTGTCAAAGCAGCAGATGCAGACCGTGTAGCTCGTCGTTTAGCGAAGAAAAAGGCCCGAGCAGCGATGGTGAAGGGCAAAGGCGCTGTCAATCTAGAAAGAGGCGCAAGGGAACGCAAACGGGTGGACAAACACGGGAAAGGCTCTGCGACGAAGCCACGGATGAAGAGTGCTCGGGCAATTGCTAAGCGCAACCAGAAGAAGTAAATATATAAGGATTCATCGTAATGATACCAGTCTACCTAGAATACATTTCAAGCCTCTGCAGGCGTTTCTACAACGGGAGAACGTGTTCCTGGAGGCGTAACAGCCCCATACGTGGTCTCTAAATCCTCCCTAGGGAGTTCCAGCGCACGTACTTCCTTGGCACTGTCGTATCCGACAGCCGAAAAGGCAAAAAGAACCAGGACAGCACCGAAAACGGTTTGGAGGGTAGCCCAATGGCCCATCCACATATCTCCCAAAACGGCCAGGGGTATCGTTAGGCTGAGCCCAATTGTCACTACTAAAGGGGTGGTTTTCAGCATAGCGAGCACATATAGATAGTCGCTGGAGAGTGTGATGAACATCTGTAAATTCCGTCAGGGGGATGCTTTCATGCTCAGCATAATAGACCACACGCACATTCAGCCCCAATGCGCCCCACGCCATTCCATCCGTCGGTAACGCAAATGGCTCGATCCCCGTAAGGTGTAGGACGATCGCTATTGGCCAGAGTCCAAAGGTATTGAACAGACCAACGAATCCAAAGAAAAGTTGCGCATTGAGACGAGACTCGTGTTGGGCACGGATTTTGAGGAACAGAACGTAGAGGGCGTAGAAGAGCGCGGAAAGGAGAGCTAGCATGTCTCCTAGGACAACGTACGCCGAGGTGGATGGCTTGTCCGATGTTCCGTCGGAAAGCGATACAAGCAGAATGCCAGAGAAACTGTCAATAATGATGAGAACTGTTGATCTTCAGCTCGATGATACGACATACCTCGCAATGACAGCACCGAGTTTCGCCAAAGTGAACAACTCTACCCCAAACATCCTTCCAATCACAAGAGTAAAGAAGCCTGAAAGCGAATCAGAATATGAGCGATAAACTATATTTGGGCATACTGACCACTCATGCTCGCAAGGATAGTGCTACTCGCAACACTTGTATACTCTAACGAAGCATTTACTGACCAGTTCGCCGCAAACCAAAGGACACAGAAGATCGCGCCAAGGCTCGCATGTTCGCGCACGGTCAAGGGCGGCAGAATTCCTTCCTGCGGAGGCGGTGGGAGATGTGGAGGACTGAGAGAGTGGGCGGATCGTACTCGCTCTAGTGACACTCGACGTCCACGCACCGGCGCCTCAGGTGCAAGGACAGAGTAATCGCCGCTGTATGCGGTCAAAAGGATGTCACAACGTATGTGTACATAGGGTATACCGGGCTTCATCTCCTTTGGCCTTTCGCTCCCACCACAGTTTGCCAAGCTGGGGCAACAGATAGAGCGAGAATGTGCTTGTGTTGAGATACGTGATCCTGTGAATGTGTGAGATAGCTAGTTTGGACATCTCTACTATGAAGTGCGCACAGGAACGGTTTATTGTAGCCAGTGATGAAGAGGTGCTACGGAGTCATCATCAATGCCAGCACCAGGGAGGCTGGGGATCAGCGCACCTGTGTGAGGAAGTTGGAGAATGTCCACTCGAAGACTACGATAACCAGGAGAGCGATACCGAATGCATAGTTTGCGCGATCCGCAGACATACTGTCAAAGTATATCATAATAGTATCTAGAGCAGGACAGAGTCTATATTCGCATCTTCGAATTAGAGAGCATGAGATAGGAGAGCATGAGAGGGGTCGTGCGATAGCGTTGCTGATTAGGGATTGCGAGATTGCTTTGCCGTTGACGCCACAGGTTATGAGTCCCTTACCGACATTTCAGCAACCACCATGATTCGGTTTATCCTTGTTCAAGTCAGTATCTGTTGCTAGCCATCCAGAGGGACAAAATGTTAATCAAGCGAGTTGCAGAATCGGCAAGGGAAGACACGGCTGTCAAAGTGGTATGTGCCGTTCGATGACGAGGAGAAGGTGCGCCCTTTTGTCAGCTTGACCCAGTATCAGTCTGCTCATGGATCGGTATAGGTTCGGTTACGAGGCGAAGTACACCGGCTCATAGCTCCTCGAGACCAGAAGTGGCAGTCCAACTTCGTAGAGGTCTGCATTTTGCGCGTTCACTCAATAGTCGGTGACTGATACGAGTCCTAGTTCCGCAATTACAAGATCGTCTACAGACGCTACGCTGGGCTCTTCTTCTGTCTCTGCATCGACCAAAATGATAACGAGCTGGCATACCTGGAGGCGATCCATCTCTTTGTGGAGATTTTGGGTGCGTGAATCTGACGGGAACTGCGCAGAACTGAAACTAATGGCCATCTAGATGCCTTCTTTCAAAACGTGTGCGAGCTGGATCTCGTTTTCAATTTCTACAAGGTGAGGTACCCCTGAGAAAGTTTTCCAAAAGCTGCTGACGGTGCGGTGCCAGGCATATGCTATTTTGGATGAGATTTTCCTCGCCGGAGAAATAGAAGAGACCAGTAAAGCCGTCATCCTGGAGCGACTGGATTACTTGGATCGGCTTGAATAGGGTGTTGCTCTGTTTCATTAGCATTTGTACCCTATATGTATTCATGATACCCCCTCTACCCATTCGGTATGTCTCGAGTTTCTCCTGCAAGCTGGTGGAAAGATAATCTGTTCGGACTTGCATTGAGGAGTGAAGACTATCTGTTGAGCGCTGACCATCAAAGCGGATGGGCATTAGCTCTCTGTTTGAAATCTAACATCTGATATCTCGGAGTCCTGTCCTTGTCAAAGTTGCGAAGAAGAGGGACGTCCCAAGTAAATTGAAACGGCCCAGGAGATCAGATACCAACCGGTCCCGTGCTCTTCGCGTCGAGCACGCGTCGCGCCTTTTGTCATGCGCATCTAGTTTGCCTTGTACACGCTTCCTTTACACTTTCAGTCATTTACGTACATGTAATAAGCAAATTACAATCACAAATCAAGCAGATCTAAGTTCAATTATCTAACGCGTTACTAGAAATTTGGCAACGCATAATATTGTTCAAGCACGTGGCATTTTCGGTCCGAGCGCCCAAAGCTGAACCTAAGTTTACCCTAGCTCAGCCTCCCTCACCGCATCACTTCGTCTCGTCACGTCAACACCTCACCGACTCTCCCCACCACCCAGTCCAACAACAGATTCCTTATCCTATCATCAGTCCTCTCGTTTACTACCACCACGCCCTTCCCTCAACCATATCCCTGTCCAGCAGCTCTGTGAATGGAGAATTACACAAGAATAGAGAAGATCGGCGAGGGTGAGCTCTCAGTCGCCTTTTCTTGCTCGCGTTGTTAACCAAGATTCATTTGGTGTATGCAGGTACGTATGGTGTCGTCTACAAGGCTCGACACATTCAAACAGGCGATGTTGTCGCGCTCAAGAAGATTCGTTTGGAGGCAGAGGACGAGGGCGTGCCCAGCACCGCAATCAGGGAGATCTCCATCCTCAAGGAGATCCGGAGCGAGAACGTCGTAAGGTACGCGCTGCTTCTACTGAGACTCCTATATCCTCACTAATATGCTCCTAAGGTTGCTTGATGTCATCCACGGAGACGCCAAGCTCTACCTTGTCTTCGAGTTCTTAGACATGGATCTGAAGCGCTATATGGAGAGCGTCCCCCCCGACGGTCTTAACGCAGATGTCGTCCGTGTACGTACAATTGTCCACGTACTTTGAGATTCGTCGCTCATCTGACTTGTAGAAATTTACGTACCAACTCATCAAGGGCCTGTATTATTGCCACGCTCATCGGGTTCTGCACCGTGATCTCAAGCCCCAAAATCTTTTGATTGACAAAAAAGGCAACCTCAAACTCGCTGACTTTGGGCTCGCTCGTGCGTTCGGCATTCCTCTCCGCACCTACACCCATGAAGTCGTCACCCTTTGGTATCGTGCCCCGGAGGTCCTTCTCGGCTCGAGACATTATTCCACAGCCGTTGATTTGTGGTCCGTTGGCTGCATCTTCGCAGAAATGGCGATGCATGGCCAGCCGCTCTTCCCAGGGGACTCGGAGATTGACCAGATCTTCCGTATCTTCCGGTGAGTCGTTCTTGTTTTATTTGCCTCGAACACCTAATTCATATCTTACAGTACACTTGGTACACCAGACGAAGATGTTTGGCCTGGGGTTCGGCAATTGCCTGACTACAAGGCCTCCTTCCCGCAATGGGCTCCTATTGATCTTTCCAAGCAAATATGGCGTCTCGACGAGGCCGGCTGGGATCTTCTCCAGCGCACGCTTATCTATGATACAGCGAATCGTATTTCAGGTGAGAGAAGATTCGACGAGGTTGACTTGACGGTTGTCTGATTGCATACTTAGCCAAACGTGCGCTTGTCCACCCTTACTTTGAGGGCTTCACCGATTATTAGGCTGCGGAGTCGGCTCATGTTTTCCTTTCCTTATCGCGAGCATTGTATTTCCATCATCCGTCCTTTATGCCGCCAGCGACGTTTGCCTACACTTGCTGCATCGTGTTCTTCACCGCATCACTCACGACAGCACTCCTTGCACCTTATCCCTCCTTTTTTTGTGCACATGGACGTAATTGAGGACGGTAACTTTCGTTCCGTTTTCAACCTCATCGTAATACCCACTGTTGAAAATAAAAAGCCACTCGTACACATAATTTTGCTATTGCTACATTTCCATTCTTGGTACAGCCATTCACTGTTGTCCCTGCTGTGGCCACACACCACTCGTTGGATATCCTGTCGGCCATTGCAGTTGTTGACCCTGCTGACCCTGTGGGAAGGTGGGAAATGGTTGCTGTTGTTGCTGCTGCTGTTGCTGCTGTTGTTGTTGCTGAAACTGTGCCGCAGCGGCAGCTTGGGCAAGGAGGAACTGCTGCGCCTGGTTCTGCACCTGGGGTAGCAGCCTCTGAATGAATGCTGCTCTGTTAGGCACCGGGATCTTTGATAAGACTTGGGGCAAAACGAGCGGATTGTCATTGACAATCGTGGCGAGCGCTGGCAGTTGTAGGTGCTGCTGTTGCCGTTGCTGCCGTTGCTGTTGTTGTTGCTGAACTACCTGCTGCTGGACAAATTGCTGTTGCTGTTGCTGTTGCTGCGCTTGTTGGAGCTGCATCTGGTATTGAAGTTGCTGCTGAGACCATTGTGTCATCCGAGGCGTGGACCCTATTTGGGGGTTGGGAGTCACCCTGCCTTGTTGACCACTGATAGCAATCTGTCCAGGAACACCAAGGCGAGCTTGTTGAGCCTGGACCTGCTGCATACGCTGTTGCTGCTGAGTATTGGGAACGACACGAGGATTGAGCTGGGCAGCTGCAGGCATCAATGCGGGCGTCGACGCAGTCTGCGAGGCTGGTGTTGCGACGCGCTGTCCCTGAAGTACTGGCGTAGGCATCTGTTGGACCTGCATGCTTGGGGTGGCCTGATGTGGCGAAATTGTAGGCGTGGGTCCGCGTTGGTGCTGCTCTGCCGGTGTTGACACCCTCTGCTGACCAGGCATGTGGCTGGCAGGTTGAGGCTGAGGTTGTTGGAGCTGTGCCAGGGCTTGTTGCTGCGATCCTTCAGCCACACCGCGATTCTGGCTAGCAGCATGTGCCATGGCCTGCTTCCCCAACATGAGAGCCCGACCGAGTCGAGGGTCACCCTGCGCCTGAGCATTGCGCAACACGGCGGTGAACCCTGCCTTTTCGGTATCCGTCAAGCTTGTCAAACCCTGTGACTCTTGCAGATAGGCCAGGGCCGCACGGTTCAGCAGTTCGTCTGAGATCTGCCCATTCCCAGCACCTCCACCTGTACGTTGTGGATTGCCCTGAGACATTGCCCGATTGACATATGAACTCTGCTGCATGGCTGCGGACGTATTCACAATGCCAGCTTGTGTATTTAGCATTGTCTGACTGGGGGGTTGTCTCATATTCGCCAAAGCTGCCATGTTCTGCAAACTCGCGGGGTTCACAATGTTGCCTAGATGCTGCTGGCTGGCGTTCGCGAGAGCTTGCATGTAGTAAGGATGTTGTGGGTTGAGAGCAGCGAAAGCCGCAGGCACGCCCATATTCAAGTGCGGCATGTGGGTGGCGGCCGCGTCGGGCATAGAAGGAGCCCCACTTGCCGCGAGTCCGGACTGCGGCGATGTCTGTGTAGATGGTACGGTGCTCGGTCCAGTGGCAGGTTGCGAAGGGCCACGATTGACTTGCACGGTTACTTTTGCCTTCTTCTTCGGACCCTGGTTCGTGGCAGCGTTCTGTGCCAAGGCAGCAAGCGGGACATTCGAGGATGCTGGGGAAGGACTCGGGGCAACGCTGGAGCCCGGCCTTGCGGCGATTGAAGAACCAACAGCGGCTGCTGCTGCCGCCGCCGCCGTCTGAGAGATAGGAACAACTGGCCTCGCGGGACCAGGGCGCATATTTATCTTCTTCTTTGAGGTCGCGCTTGCTGGAGTAGCAGACGGACCAGCAGATATCGTGGTGGCAACAGACGGTGCCCGAACATTGGTATTGATGGGCGGAGGAGGGGCGGGGCCACCACTGGATTGATCGGGTGGTTTGGCTTGTATGGGTAAAGCGAGGCCCTGCTGAAGGACGTGAGGGGATTAGATGCACGGGCACAAGTGGCATACGCACCAAAAATCCCTGCTGCAGTTCTGACTTTGGGACTGATGGGGCCTTCTTCGGCTTTGGCGGTATTTTCTTCTTCAGTCCAGACTTATCCACCATATCTACCGCGCCGGAAGGGAGAGGTGGTTGAGAGACAGGAGGAGCCGGTGCTTGCGGTGCTGGAATAATCGGGTGTTGTGCAGGAACAGCCTGCTGGGCAGTGGTAGTTGCTTCACTTGCCTTCCGGTCCCTCGCTTTGAGCATGAGCTCAAACCGAGATGTCCTAGGAAACCGGCTTTAGTATGACGGTAATAAATGAAGATGCGAGAACGCACCCTCGGGGCACAGCCGGCTTTCCAGCCCTCGGATCCATTACAGAAAGCAGCTTCGCCCGTTTCTCCCGTAGCGCAACATCCTCAGTGCTATCTCCGAGACGTTTGCGCTTGGTTCCCAACGAGAGTGTCTTACCGGAGCCTTCAATGTGACCTGCGATGAGTAACGCATTTGCAATACGAGACACAATCGGGTCTGGCGTTAAACAAAGAGGAGGAGCCGTTGCCAGCTGTCCACAGATGAGAACATATGCTAGACAAAGACGAGCGAATTACGCATACCAGTATGCTGGACTCAATGTTCAGAGCGTCCATATCGGACATGTTGGATCCATTTTTTCCATTGATGTTTGCGATATCGAGGAACAGAGACTCGGATGTGGGCCAAAGCACTCGTCGATCTCGGGCCACATCCTTTTTTGCTGGCTTCTCATCGGGATTCTTGGGCTGAGCATTGGGGTCATTCGCGTGCTTGCAGACTTCAACAATCATACATCCTACGTAACGATGAGCCCGCTGGGTCTAAACCCTTCGCCGTAAAGATATACCTTCGTAGAACGGCACTTTCCTATCTTCAAACACGGGTAATAGGTCGATGGGAAGAATCCGATCATGTACGCTCTTCAGCAGCGACTGGGCAATGTAATAGTCAGTTCAGTTCTCCAAATCGAGCTTATATGATACATACACTAAGCGCGCTGCTGTACGATAATGGCTTGGACTCTCCGAGGGTCCAATGCGAAGGATAGAGGTGGATAGAGAGGGAGGGCGGCGACTTTTCGTACTTTGACAACAAGTTTTTTGTCGCTTTTGCTGGATTATAGCAAGCCAATGAAGCCATGTTACAATGTAAGTGCCCAGAGAGCCGTGTGGTCAACGCCGCGTTGGAGAGTCACACACGAGTCAACGCCACTGCCGCAGTGAGGGCGCGCATGCTTTCGGAGATAACGCCATCTAATCGCCGCATTCGAACAGCGTTGACTGAAACGGCGGATGTACATATATCCCCAATCTGTTTCCCGCCCTTATGAGGACCACTTGCACAAAGCTAGCAAAGTTACCCATAACAGCACTCAGACCATATATACCCTCTCAATCACGCCGGGTTGCTGTACGTGCTTCGCACTCCCAAGACGCCATCATGTCATCCTTCGAAGATCGGCAATCTTGGAACCGAATGGCGGATTCAATGCAACATTTCCAGTTACTTTCGCCTGACTTGTGAGTGAGCACCTGGACACAATCCCTCCCATTGAATAACCCATGCAGTCAATGAATTGTATGAAGTGGGTCTTCGGACCCTGCTGTTGTGGTTGTGCTTATCGTGGTAACGACTGGCAGACTGCGGACCGCAAACGACTGGGACCATCTCTCCTTGCTTTCTTCCGACAAGCTATGGACTTTATACATCGTAAGTTGAGAAGCTTTTCACGCGGATACGGTTCGTTATGATCTCATACCCCCACCTGCCAGACCTCGAGATGCATCACGGGATAGAAGAAGTGTGGTCCAAGGCTCTTCTTTCTTCAGCATGTGATCGTTGATGACGTTGTACAGCAACATATCTTCCCCGTTCTTCAACGAAAGATGCCCGATTTTGCAAAAGGCGCTAAGCATCGCAATTCTCACAAGGGTATTCACGAAGGTGAGCGACATCCTCCTGTTCGTACTGGTCTTTCGAATTGCGGTTCAAAGGTCTCGACCGATTGGAGGCATTGATAAAAGATTACCGTAATGATCCGAAAACATACTCTCCTGTCGAATTTCGAGCCTGTCTAGACTCTTTCCGAGATGTACTTTTTTCTCATTTGGATGAAGAAGTGTAAGCCGACCGTTTCCTCATGCATGAATGCCTGGCGCTAACCGTCGGAAAGAGCAGATTTGCAAGGCGAGAATCTCAAGAAATTCTGTACTCTCGCAGAGGTTCAGCGTTTGCCTATGTGATGTATCCGTGGAATCCAGGGCATCCGAATCAATATCAAAGAGCTATTTGCGTGGTTTTCGTTAACAGGAATCTGAGCTGAACCGTGAACCGTGCCTTTTTACCAATTAAGGGGGCGCCTGGAGGTGGCCGATGAGCGGTTTGCAAATTCCGCATGGCTCGGATTCCAGGGTTCATGACCATCATCCGACATGAACACTTCTGATGGGCGCTTAACATGCAGCGTCAATCTTTCTGCTCCTAGATACCCTACCATCACGTCCTCATAACACTCTCTGAGCCATTCCACCGCTCGATGCTCACGGGGATGGAAGATCGATTGCAACGATCCTCGTCGGTCACCTCGACAACCAGCCAGGCTCCCCCGTCTTACGACAGCTCGCAGCTCGACTATTTCCGAGAACTCGAACAAATCTTAGAGGAACCGGCATCATCAGTTCTAGCTGCATCTCCATCAATCCAGGGCAATGTTGTCCTCCAATCAGCACCCAGTGTAGCGGGGGTCCAGCCTATTCTCCCTCATTCGAACTCGGAGCCGACTGAGCTGCGAGCCCGAAATCGAACGTTGACACACACTGCAGAAATTGACGCTCGCAGATTTGAGCGATCAATCGCAGCTGAGGGCTCGAGAGATGTATGCCAATGCTGTGGAGAACGCCAGACATGGACTCGATCGGGGAACCCCTATGCAGCTACCTTCAAGTACTTCCAACGACGGGTCGTCTCGCGTGGAACGTGGGGTATCAAGGCCAGCTTCAATCGACGTGAGCAGTCGATCACCAGAAGTCGGCTCTCCGGCTACAACTTGCGGGTGCACTTGCGCATGTTGTCTAGAGAAGTGTGCCGTCGGATCCTCTGTCAACTCGGGGACTAGCTATCCAAGTCGCCCTGCTTCGATCCCGTCACCAAATACCAGCACTATCCCTTCCCCAGGCGCAGCACAAGGTGGATTAAGCAGCCGAGAAAGAGAAGAAGGCAAAGTGTTCTCGATGCCCCTTATGGCTGTTGTTATGCCTGTGTTAATGACAAGCGAAATGCAGAGACTGGCCAATAAAGCTGCTGGCCGGGCTTTAGAAATGTTCGAAGCGCACGCGCAAGCCGCCACGGACATCTCCGGGTACATTCGGGAAACATTTGAAACATCATTTCCTCAAGCTGTCTGGCATGTCGTTGTGGGTGAAGACTGGACGTGGGCTGTTACATATGGTGCGCCAGTTTCATTCAGTCTGCATGGCCAGAGACGTGAATTCAGTTCCAGAGAAGATGCACTATATGGTCTTCACCATTCAAGCTCTCCGATTCATCATCTTCGCTTCGCCAGGTGACAGGATCTACAGCAATGCCACCGCCATCGGCCGCATAGCCCATCCACACGTTGCGTCAAGGTTTTCACCCAATTCTAACAATGGTGTCCGTGTGCACGGCATTGCCATGGATTTGCGCTCACTAACGGCCGTAACTCAGATTGCTACACGTGCGTTTGACAGATTTCGCCAGGGAAGTTCCCGAGGACCAAACACCATTGCTGCGGAGATTAAGGAAGGTCTCGTCCAAACAACCTTGAGCGACAAAACCACCTCATGGCACGTTATTGTCGGTAATGATCATGGGAGCTGTATTGCTTACAGTAGGTTCTTTCCCCGCGATCACACTAATTCTCTGCACTAATGCACACGTCCCAGCACAATTTCTTCACTGTACGGTTGGGACGTTGACCTGCCTCATTTGGAACACCCAAAGCAGGTCATCGGGCTCATCTCGTCCAACCACACAGCAGTCTCATCAGCAGTCTTTCTCTCCCAACGCAACACAGCATGTGGATTATCGTCATTCCTACATGCCATCTTCTCCGCCGAATATGCAACGTGTTAGTTCCGAACCCTCCAATCCCAGAGGTCATTATCTTCAGCGGACGTATCCCCTGTTCCCTTCTGGTGAACCACAACGATCTCCAGGAGGCTGATATTCGCTCCAGTCAATTAGCTGTCTCATCTCTACCGTTTCCAGCTTATATGCCTCTGCACTGGTTCCATGTGTTCGGGAACGCTCACTCGACTGATCACGGAATGGTATATACGGTTTATACATTTGCAAGCACATTTATTTCAAAATACAGTGTAATAGTTTCGTGAGAGTATGAATGATATACGAGTTAACAGTTGACGGGAATGCGTGTTGGCGTTGTCCCCTCTACATGGTTTTTCTGAGATTACGAAGGTTACACGTTGAGACGTCGAATTGGAGGTTTACAAATCTACTACCAACAACACGAGGACAGATAAGAAGGGGAGAGCAGTAACTTTCAAGCTCCAAAAGCGCTCTCTCAGAAATCCCCCAGATCCAGGTCAATGCTAGTAGCCAGTTTCGATTCGAGGCGAGGAACTGCCTTTTTCGGACTAGGAGATGGGCTTCCTGCTGGCGTGATGGCGCGAGGTGTTAGAAGGCCTCCACCGTCCAAAGCCAAAGGTTGTATCGCATCCTTAGAGGTGTCTTGAGGGCCGAGCACAGGTGTATTCCCTCTGTGCGAAGTTAGATGTACACAACTTCGGAATTAACGAGTCGACGTACGTGGAATGCAGTTTGCGAACTACTGGAGGTCTTAAGCCACCTTGGCGCCTCCTTTCTTCCGCTTCGGCTGCTTCAGCTTTTCGAATACGTTCGATATTGGCTTTGCGATTCCGCTCATTCACCTTCGCGAAGGTGTCCTCCATGACAGTTGGAGCAGGCGATGCTCGTTCCTGCGCTAGGGTGAGTGTATCCAGCCGCTGAACTTCCGCTAGATTGTGGCGCGCCAGAGCGAGTGCGCGTTCTTGATGTAGCCTGGACTTCTCTGCTTTGGCTTGATGTGCATCCTTTTTACCGCTCATGCCGGCTTTGCGTTTGATCATTTGCGTTATTTCCTGCTATTAATGGATTCAGCTTCATCAATACAGTATCAAAGAGGCAAGTTGACACACATCGGTAGGCACCTTATGACGATATTCCTCTAATTTGATTGCTTTGGCTTCAATGTCAGCTCTCGAGGGAAGCTCGACATTATCCGTTTTGCATTGTGCCACGAGTCGATCAAACTCACGCTTAGATAGCGGTCTCAGTTAGCAAAATGTGTTGATAACGCCACGCTTACATCGGTAAAGGGGCTATTTGATATACGATCCATGTTGAAGGGTTTGGTCGACTTTCCGTGTTTCAGCAAGGCTTGCTGATTGAAGACTGTATCCTGAATCTTGTACGTCACAGGCGACTCAGCTGTCAATCCTGAAAGCCAGTCGTAAGATGCACTGAGTGCTTGCATGAGATAAATCGTCTCACCTACTATCTGGCAAACTCGATAGACGTTTTGCCCTTTGTCACCAGGACCAACCAAGAAACGAATCCAACAATCTTTTACAAGGTCCTCGAACTTTGGCATGCAACACCATTTCTCGATGAGATCTCGGCCAAGACGAACCTTCTCCAGATCCTCCTTTTCGAGCTTCTTTTCCTTTTCGTCCTTGGAATCCCGTCCTTGCCTCTTTTGTTCTTCTTCGTCCCATCGGGTCACCTGGCCCTCTTCTTCCTCATCTGACTCCTCCATATCACTTCCCGAGCCAGAATCAGACAGAGCACGTCGCGACTCTTCCCTTTTGGCCTGATGCAACATTCAGGACTGGGGTCAAAACAAGGAGGCTCTACTTACCCTGGCCGCATGTGCAGCACGCTTGGCCTTGAGCTCGTCCAACTTCTTTGCCTTCGTTTTGCTGGTTCCAGGAGCAATATGCTTACCTGTACAAATGAAATAAAGCGAGGCACGAAAGATGAAACAACGCCACTTACGTTTTGCTGCCTTAGAAACTGCCTCTTCATCATCCGATGTGGCTTGCCCCATGGCAATTTTGTGCATCCTCTCAAGTTTGATGCTATCTAAGTGTCGCTGCTGCTCTTCAAGACGCTGAGCGAGAATTCCTTCACGTTCCAATTCATTTAAATCCAATAATCTGACCAGTATTGTCATTTTGGGAGACATAGGAGACTGACGACGTGGCGCTTACGTTTCGCGGTCCTTCTCATCCTTGTACTTTCCTTCTAGCGGATAAAGATCAACCGCATCTTCCTCACTCTCCAAATCATCATCCGTCGTATCGTTGCTGAAACAGGTCAGACCGTCGTTGATGCTGCTGGGTGCATATCCTCACGGTCTCCGTCTTTTGGCCCTACCGTTCCGATCCGCGCCAGCTTGACGACGCTTTTTGCGAGGCTGGTCAGCCTCACCATCCCCAGCTAGTGCAAGCAGTTCATTGGAGATATCTTCGTCTGCAGACATTCCAGTCAATGTGTGCGAGAGAACGGACAAGTCGCGGTGAGAACAACGTTAACAATTGGAACGAGGAAAGGCTAACGGCAACTTCCAGGGACGTTTGATTCCGTCACCAATCGAAACAATGAATAACCAGCAAACGTAATTTATCATTGACCACTGAATCTCAAAATCCTTCAGTCCTACTGTGCCAACCCTGATACAACATCACTCTGTCAGCATTTTTCTTCAATTTCAACTATTTTGAATGGACTTCTCGGTATAATCATCGGTTAAGCGCTGTTCCGTGCCTGGTCTCCTGTCCGAATCCGACCAAACGCGTGTCGCGGACCGATGTAAGCCGAGCATGTTGGCAGCAGATAAAGTGTCAAGCAGACCGAGTGGCCAAGTCTCGTTTATTCACCCTCATATCTTAACTCACAAGTTAGACGACACTGCTTGCACATGTCTGCTACTCTGGATCCTCTCGTCGAGTGTCGCCCGCACTTCCCTGCCCTCACGGGTGACTATATCTTTGCCGATAGTGCTGGAGGTTCTCAGTGTCTGAAAGCCGCAGCAGACGAGGTCGCAGATTACTTGATCAACAGCAATGTTCAGCATGGCGCCGACTATTCTGTCTCTGTCAAGGCGACGCAAAGGGTACAGATGGGAGTCGATGCGACAAGGATTCTCATGAACGCCGAATCATCTGATGAGATCGTGTTTGGCAGCAGGTGCGCCGAGCTTATCTAGCATGCCACAACTTACATCTGAGGCTTTTCCAGTTCGACTCAGCTGATCGAGAACCTCGCCCGCGCTTATACAGATCTTGAGTCGGACGATGAGATAGTCGTCTCGCTCACCGATCATGAAGCCAATACTGGTCCCTGGACTCGTTTGGCAGCCCGGTACAACCTCAAGTTTCACATCTGGACACCAAAGCCGCTCAATCCATCTAACCCATTCTCAGTCTCGTTGACTCTGGACGGGCTCATCCCACTGTTGTCGTCCAAGACTCGTATCGTCGCTTTTACAGCATGCTCGAACATCCTTGGAGAGTTGACCGATGTGAAAGGCTTCGTTAAGGCGATCAGGGAAAAGACGCGGGGCGGAAAGGGTGAACGCAGACAGGCCAGGGGTGCTGAAGTCTGTGTCGATTGCGTTGCGTATGCGCCACATAGACGTATCGACGTACAGGACTGGGATGTTGATTATTGCGTATTCTCCTACTACAAGGTCTGCACATTGTTCATCACACACCCGCGATCTTTGACATGGTTTGGAAGGTGTATGGTCCTCATGCCTCAGCTCTTTACGCTCGACTGTCGTCGCTTGCCACGCTGTCTTCTCTTGCGCACTTCTTTTTCACTCCCGCACCGGCAAAGGCGATGAAGTTGCAGCCCGGAGGTGCCGGCTACGAATTGACATACGGCACTAGTATGGTGCTCCCATACATTCGCTCGCTTGGTGGACCCAACGGCGACCTTGATGTTGCGTTCAAACGAATGGCAGGACAGGAAGGACTGCTCGTCACTAAGCTGATCGGCTATCTTACTTCGGACGCAAGCTACAAGAAGGGTGTTCGCATTGTTGGGTATGAAGGTATCGATAGCCTCAAGAGGGCTCCAACAATCAGCTTCATCGTTGTTGGCGATGATGGCTTAACAAAGAAAGTGCAGAGCAAGGATATTGTGGCTACCTTCGACAAGAAAGGAAACGTGAGTGGTACCCGACGACTGTCAATTCTCAGCTGATCAGTTGGCAGATGGGTATTCGTTGGGGGCATTTCTACGCATACAGACTTTGCAGCGCACTGATGGGAGAGAGCTCCGCTGTAGACGGAGTTGTTCGCGTCTCTTTCGTGCATTACAACACCACCAAGGAAGTCGATCGTCTCATTGCCGTTTTTGAGGAGATATTAGCTTGAATTTACATGGAGTACAATTACAGAAAAGGAAGGGATTGTCTTATATGAGAGAATGATGAGAGACTCTATAAACCCACTCGCCATACCTCCAGTCCGACGCACGAAAATCGACCCTTGACTCCATCAGTGGTGTAGCAAAGCGGCTCGTTCTCAAAGCAAGGACATCTTTCAGAATAACCTCGATCAAACGCCGAGTCTAGATACAGCCCTGTTCGACCATCACTATGTTAAGTTAGCATGGCTCCGTTGTATGCACAAAAGCACAAAACAACACGCACCCTCCGCCGAACGATATATAGTCATCTTCGCAAAGGGCGACGTAATCGTTCTTCCCACTCCATTTGAATACCTTAATGCTTCCTGCCTCCTCACCCTTGGGCAGAACAACCAGCTTCCAGAGGAAACTTTCTCCACTGCCATAATACGAGCCTCCGCCCATCCTGATCTTTTCTCCAATCCACACTCCAAACACACCTCCTCGCTCGTCTCGCACAGCAAGAACACACCCTCCAATGCTCGGATTCGGAGGTTCGAATGACTTCGCAATTTCGCGATAGAAGGTGTGAATTGAGATGCCATGCTGGTCGAGGGAGTACAGAAGCGTCCAGGACTTAGGTAGTCGAGCTAACGGGGGCAACCAAGGTCTGATCAAAGCTGCAACTTCTGCGAGGAGAACCGGAGACGTTTGCAAGCCCCGCCCTCGTAGATCAACCTTTTCCGTCAGGAGGCGCCGCTTCGAGTCAGTAATGGAAGGGTCGGAGCGCCAATCCCCTTTGTCCCAGTCGAATTCTGGCTCCCAAAAGCCAGGGGCTCCAGTCGGCGGGGCTGTTGGATGATGGTGCGCAGCAAATGGAGAGCTGTGAGCCCAGGTAGACGAGAGTGATGAGGCAATAGACGGCGCGTAAGGTTTGGGAGAGGTAGACATTTGTGGGTTTTTGGGTACAGACGAGGCAAGAGGGGGACTTGCAGCAGCATGAGAAAATAAGGATGCAACGCCACGAGAAAAAGTCCGCCTCAAGCTGTCGTAACGTGAGGGAGATGTGGATGGCGAGCTGTCTCGCGACCTTGATCGTGCAACGTGCCTTTCGGCGGCCGTCGTGGTCGCCGTCGAAGGTCCAGGATCGGTTGCACGTTCTTCCCGAGAGAGTCGTGGATGAGATGCTTCAGAGGAGGGAGACATGCTGAGATCGCTGAGCGGTGGCGAAACAGCGGTCGGCGACGTTTCTAAAGACGGTTCTGCCTCGACTCCCTCCGGTGTTGTGACGACCTGGCGTGGATGCCAGTACATCGGCTCGTCTTCATGCTCGATGAGTTCGCGTACGACGCGCTCTTTGCGGTCTTTCACGCGTTCATGAGCTCGATCAAAGAAGTCTTCCTTGATAGGATCTACGTCTAGCTGAGGTGGCTCGAATGATAGCAGCTCGTGGACGCCCAAGGGTTCGTAATGCGCACTCGCAACAAACGAGCCGAATTCAGGGGACTGGGGAGTTCTCAAGCCAGGTATAGGGATTGGCCTTGTGGGAGTAATAGGAGCCTTAGCCATAGACGACTCAGGTGCAAAGATCGAGTTGGAAGCGGCGTGGGTAAGCAGACTGGCTAGGTGATCGTTAGACGCATTCGGAGACGGCGTCTGTGGGGTCGCCGTCGATGATTCTGGGAGAGGAATGAGGGAGGGGATATCCAAGCTCGACATCGCTCCAAGTCAGAGGAGCCTCTTGAAAGGTGTTCGTCGTCCAGCCTAGTTGATCGTTGTGTTTGAGGTGGTTGAGGGAGACAACGTTGGACGTTGTTTGAACGTGCTGCGGTCACTGCTTGGGGCGTCTAAATCAGGTGCGCGTGACGGATCCTTGACGGTAACCAATGAGCCCCTTGTGATTGATGATTTGGAGTTGACGAAACTTTTTGATCGTTCGCTGATGACCTCTTCTTGTCACATCGAAACACTCAAATCCATCCTCTGCGGCACGTGTTATGGGAACCTTATTGGATGCTAATGCAGTAATGCTCGAACCGCAAAGCTCGTCAGAACACTACACAATTCGTGAGGCAACTTGGGCTGGACGTGGCATGTTTTCCAACGCCGGAATTCCTGCCAACACCATAGTCCTGGAATCTGCGGAACCCATAGCTCATGTGATTCTGCAACCTTTTCGCCATGAAGTTTGCGATTGGTGTTTTGCCTACGATAATGGCAAGAGATGGCCAATCTCTTACGAAATAGACGACAAAAAGACACGACGTGGGGTAGCTTGGTTCTGCTCCGAAGAATGCTACCAGAAATGGCACGAAAAGATGGGAAACATCGGAATAGAGGCTTGGATCGCTCTCGATCAGGCACTAACAACTTTCCGACGAGCACGAAGCAAGGAAAAAACACCCCCAGTCGTTCTAATCAAGAACTCTTCATCAAAAGACGAGATTGAGAACATTTGGTCCGACGGCAACGACAAGGCAGTATCAATAACAAATGCACGGTTCGAAGAACAGCCAAGTAAAGCTCAACGGCGCCTTCTCCGAGAATCGCAGCAAGCAGCTCTACGCAATACAGATGAAGATGATGCGTTTCTTCTGCTCACGGGTATTTTGTCACTCCACCGCGCGGGCCCATACGACGAATCCTCTTCGAGACCCATACCACCGACGTGGCAGGCCCTGCTAGAGCTTCAACCCAGCATATCGTTATACCTGAAGTCCGAATCGCCCATCAAGAGACACATCGCCGCCTTGCATCTTCTTCTCTGCATTCTTCCTCTGTCGCTCTTACCGTACTGCACGGCACTTAACGCACTTCGCTTCTATACTCGAGACGCTTGTAACTCTTTTGGGATTCGTTCACAAACCCATGGTTCCGAGTCCGAGTTTCTAGGATATGGTGTTTGGCCCTCAGCATCCTACTTTAACCACTCCTGCCAGCCAAATATTCGCAAAGACACTCCAGGTCGCGCATGGGTTTTCCAGACCAATCGAGATATTGGTTCCGATGAGGAGTTGCGCATCAGCTACCTTGGTGACACTGCACCGGAGGAGATGGGCGTCGATGACAGGAGGAAGCAACTCAGACAAACGTGGGGTTTCGACTGCGACTGCCTACTTTGTCTTGCACAACTTGGGGCGAACTAGCATCCAACTCCATCTATTACCGAATCCAGTGACCCGAGGGTACTACACGACATGGAAACACATCCTAAAGAGGATACCATAGAAATACAGCAAGGCTGATGGGACGGAAACTTCCGGAGTAATGTCCATAGAACGCTCTGATAATATTATTGAATTCGTGCTCTTTTTGCTACACCCAGATCCGCTTCTAGAATCCCGAATGTGTTCTCTGCGCCAATGTCATTGTCTTGTTCCTGATGGGGGGTACCACCGGTTTCTGGGGGAGATATGGGGGTTGTGGATGACAACGGGCGTTTCAGGGCAGTCTCGGCGAAAGAGGGTGTATAAACCATAGGCGTAGTGGCTTTCGGGATTCCTACCCTGTCTCGACTATCTCCAAAAGACCACGGTTCCGATCCCCCTCTGTCGCCTTGACCCAGCGCTTCTAGCCAGGAAAGGTCGGGGGGCAGATTGTCGGGTTGGTGGGAGGGAAACTCCCGAGTTATGGCATTATGAGGCTGGCTCTGGGACTGTAGACTTCGAGACATGGTCCAGTCCATGTCGAGGGACTGATCAGAAGACGTTGAAGGACCTTGTGACGCTAACGGTTGGAAGATGGGATTATTGTACAGGTCGTGAAGTGTCGAGCTGTTTCCAAAACCGGGGTTCGGTGATGCAGAGGAACCGAGCTGTTGCGCGAGCTGAGGATGCGCAGCAAGGATTTCGTTGAGCGGCGCAGGGTGGGAATGTGCAGGAGTCAACAAATTCACGGGCCGCGAAATTGGCGGCTGGGTGAGGTGCGGAGGCTGATAGAGCGTCTGTCCGAAAGTGAGATGGATCCTGATATGTCAGAACATAAGTACAAACATTGAGCGGGCTGTTCGAACCCGGTACACCTGAGGATGGCATTGCATTGGACCAAGATGGTCTTCTGTCCGTGATGTGCGGCCTCGGCCACTCCTCACTCCGAGGATCATACGAATGCGGAATGGATGTTGGACCGTTTGAGCTGCCGTGGGCCGAGAATCCGTTATCGCTGTGCCAGCGAGCAGGACCGGCAGAAGAGGGCATGGCCGTGTTTCGGACAGAATTGGCCATCGGAGGTGGGGGAGCGTTGATGGAGGTAATGATAGGCGGTGGCTCTTCTCGTTTGATGGGCCGAGATGAAGGGGGTTCGGGGTTAGGAAGTGGAGGAGGAACAGCGAAGCGGCCTTCAGGCGCCAAGAGCTGGCTTTCCCCACCGGTCGATCCTTTGCCTTTGGGCCTACTTTGACTCATTTTGCCTTTGGCGGCGGTCACCTCACCACCTGAGTCGCTGTCATCGTCCGCACCGTCGCCTTTGTCAGTGGAGAAGTCGGAGGGCCCTTTGGTGTCACGATCGCCACTGTACTATTAACTGTGTCAACGAGAGCCTGCAATGGACTGGGCAAGCTCGACATACCTCCCGTTGACGAGTAAGCAGGGCGTTGATGTCGGTCGAACAATATTCATAGAGTTTGTGGTTGTGTCCTAATTTTTAGGAACAAATTAAGGGTAGTTGATCCTGCGCAGCTGTAAGTGCTGACCGAATACAATAACTGCCACCTGAAAGAATCAGCACCGGTCGAATGTAGTTTGGATGTCCTATACTCACATCGGCAGAGCAGAGAACGCCTAGCTCATACGCCTTCTTGAACAATCCATTCTTTCGCTGCGTCCCAGTCAACAAAACGCTCTGGAGATGGGAGGCATCAAAGCACACACTTTGAGGAAGGTGACAGAACGGTTTCGGTCATGCTATAGATGATGTTCATGAGGTTCGCGTTTCGTGAAGTTAAAGGGATTGTACCTGAATGGGCTGAATCTCGATCTTGCGTCGCCCCATGACGATTGACAGAAATGACAGAAAAGAGAGGGTTTATAGCGAGAATATCAGAGGAGGAGGAGGACCATTCGCTGTCTGTGTATTGACTGAGGATTGGGCAACAAGAGCTGTCGCATAGAGTAAAAGAGAAAGGAGGGCGGACTGCGGACTGCGGACTCTGCCGACGTTCAGAGGAGGAAAGGGCGCTGTGGGGATGAGGTCCAACTTATCATCCGAGGGTGCGGAGCCTGAATGAGCCCTTCTCTCGGCACAGGACACAACCGTCTCTATGACCGAGGCTAATTCGGCCATATTATCGGCTGCTTTCTCTTCTTTGCATCAACCACCACCCCTTGGATTTTCTTATCATTAGCTCATTTCCATCAATCAATCAAAACCTACTAACTACCTCTTACATGCCTCATGCTCCGTGCAACCGTATGCTGTAGATCGTCCGCAAACGCTTTCCGCTCATTCTCGACATCTCTGGTCACAAGAGCAGCTACGCTCGACTTGTCATATCCTTCTCATGGTCACCCAACACCCTACGAAATATTTCACCTTCCTCGCACGGCAACCCAAGATGAAATAAAAGAGAGATGTTCGTCCACCCATCTTCCCTTTCGTCTTATGAGATAACTCACTGCAACGGTAGATTATGAGCTGGTCCGCCTCCATCATCCTGACTCGCCTGTCTGCCGACATGAACCGGATAATGTTCGCCAAGAACGCTTCAAGGCCATCGCGAAAGCGTACGAAATTTTGAAGAGCAACCGTAACCCTGCTTATCTAAAAGAGCTTCATCGGCGGCAGACACAGCATGGGTACCCGAATTACAACCCCACAAGACGGCAGCAATATGCCTACCATTCTCTCGAGGAGGGTTCAATGGACGTAGGGAACGGCGACGTGTTCTTTGTTGTAACAATATTGGTGTGCCTCCTCAAATCGCCATGTCCCTTTGCTCTAACGGGCGATCTAGGCCATCCTTGGGTCAGTTGTACTCATCTATTCTCCCTTTTCTGCCAAAGAACGATTGGACGCACATCACGCCTCAGCATCACACGCACTGGCCGAGGCGAGAAGAGAGGCAAAGGAGTTGAGTGTGCATCGTAGAAAAAATCTTAGGAAGTGGATTGAAGAAGCCGGGTTAGAGGGCGTAACACCCAATGTAGGGCACGGTTCCGCACGCCGGCAGACTCCATCATCCAACAACTGAACGTGTAACTTGTCAGTTTGTACTTTTACAACGGCCATTCGATTGCCTGGCACGTTTGGTGTCCATTATTCGGAAGCTTGCGGGATGCCGACAATGCCAAGACCTTAGGACGTATGTAATAATATCTCGACATTGTGTCTTGTGACATCCTCCGTCCAGACATTATGGTGCACGTTGCAGCGGGGGGTACAAGGCATACCAGTACAAGGCTACTCATTCCCAAACCCATCCCCGGTGTTTTGTGCACTCCCCCCGACTGTTTCGTTGGTTGTACTTGCTTGCACGCTGTTGTACCTGTACTGATGGCTCACACTTGGCTGCGCAGCGAGGGTTTGGGTAGCGTGACCCTTAGGGTTAGGGTTAGGGTTAGGGTTAGGGTTAGGGTTAGGGTTAGGGTTAGGGTTAGGGTTAGGGTTAGGGTTAGGGTTAGGGTTAGGGTTAGGGTTAGGGTTAGGGTTAGGGT